AAATTATTTCCTATAATTATATCTAATCCAGAATCGTGTTGATATATTGTTTTTGCTGGAAATATTTTAGTTTCTATAATTATTGATACGTGTTGAGCCACATACCAGATTTCATGAGCTGATTTATCAGCCACTACTATCCGTAGTGGTTTCTCTAATCGTACCCATTTTTTGATGATATTTCTTTTAGCAAAACATAGAGTTGCTCCAGTGTCTATGTATGCTAATAATTTTTTCTTTTCAATAGTTATTTGTATGAATGTTGCGTTAGGGTTTCCTGATTTTAGTATTTTTCTATTCATTTTCTGAATCGGATGATTCAGTGGTATATGCATATATTTCGATGTCAGAGTCAAACTCTGAATCTGATTCGATTGGTTCAAAGCCCATATCGTATGCTATTCGTAGTATTTCTGTTTCTTTTTTCTTTCCTTTTTTAGGACATTCATTTGCATAATGTCCCTCTTCTTGGCATAGCCAACATTTACAATTCTTTTTCTTAGAAGGACAGTATGTATCCTTCTTACCATAGTTTTTCTTTTTGTATTGTTTTCTATTTCTGAAATATTTTTGTGGTATGTATTTTTGTTTCCTATATTTTTTATATGGAATTTTTCTCCATTTCTTTTTTTTATGTTTTTGGCGAATAGGTTCACAACCATATTTGCCTATTTGTCCTGGTATTGCACCACAACATAACTTATCGATTTTTGCCTCTTGTTTTCGTTTTTCTTGATTACATTGAAACAAATGCCAATCTTTTAATGTTGTTATTCTTCCTCCTAGAGTGTTGGGAATTTGTCCCTCATTTACTTTATTCTGATATATGGTTTTTATTTCTTCTGATATTGATAAAGGTAGTTTATCGAAGAATAATTCTTCGGCTACTATTTTCTTATCCGTTGCTAGTTGATAGTAATGATCTCTAAATTCGCAAATGAATGCTTCAAGATAACACATGTTACAAATTCTAAGATTTACTATTTTCCATAGTGCAACTTCTGATATTAGTGTTTCTCTTAATTGTGCGTTAGAAGTTCTTCCAAGAAATTCTTCTCCTATTACGTCAATTAGCCTAACAAATGTTTCCCATGCAGTTGATCTTAGAATTTTCTCTGCTTTTATTCCTGTTGATAATCCTATTAAATAGTTGTATACTATTCCTGTTGTTTTATGTTCTAAGTA